TAAAAATGGATCTGTAACTATAGATCAGATTGTGCCACACAGTACTCATTTAAAGTATCTGACAAGCTCTCTGAAGTTTGTGTATGTTGTCTTTTTTGCTTAGACAATATATGAAAAACAAATCTTCTGCCATTATTCATGCTTTTAACACTGAGAGGTAATTGATAAAGCTGGTAAAAAGTCTAAAGAATAGTTTCTACACAAAGCAAAGTGATTACTTACTTTTTAAGGAAGAGGTTTTCAAGAAAATGAGCAACCTAGAGTCTCAGAAATCCAGCAATGAATTATTGAAATGTCCATTAAAATAAAACCATGCCAAACAGATTTCAGATACACTACATCTATCAAAGAGATGTGGATTTTCTCCAATATTGATATCCCACTTTACTCAATATGAGTTTGAAATACATGAGAGAATATGCTGCTGAACGCTGCATGAGCTATCTGAAACGGTTCTCATTTCTCTCTTTACTAGGTTAAATGAAACCTGATCTGGATTCCACTTGATCATAAGACTGGAATGCTGAAAATGCCATAATCTATTTATACATCAAATTGAAGAAACATTGCATATCTTTAAATTTCACAGCATTCCAGTGTATTAGCTAAATAGCAACAGTTTACAAACTGTTTCACATTCAAACGGAGAAAGAAAAGACAGACCAACCTGACTTATTTATCCTAAAGCCAGGATTGATTTCCTGGCTTTAAAACTATGGCCCAAACCCAGGTCTGCTCTGCCTTCCCTAAAAGCCTTGTTCTTGCAGCAGTAATTCATCATTTGTGCCAAAACATGGTAGTTGCCTTATGATGACTTCCAAATCCACAGCTCTTTTTCAGCATCAAGAACATACGACAACCCCAAACTAGATTTGCAGCTCAGATTTTGTTCATACTTCTCTTCCCTCTGCCTCTAAACCACAAATGGTTCAAAATACAGCAGTCAGCAAGGCTGAGAACCACTGTGTAAATAAGAACAGCCAAATCACACAGATGAAAGCCATACAGGGCTTATATAGCCCAGAAGGTGTTGGCAGTAACTCCTCGACCAACAGATCGCCTCAGACCCCCAGTGAAGCAGCAGTCTCCAGTTCCACAGAATGCTGTCATTTCCCTCCTTATTTACAGTGTTTATTTACTGTTTACTGGTGTGCACAGAGCTTTTGACACATTGTTCTGACTGGAGGAGCTGCTCCTATCCAAACACCACAACTGGGTGCAGCACAAGATCTACAGGAAAAGTAAAGGTGCCCATCATGAAGGAGAGCCCAATATGCTAAAAGCCTGTCCGTTGGTCTGTACAAATGTACATCCTGGATTTTAACATCTCTCAGTAAAGGAAAACACAGCTGCCATTGACATATGGTGGGTTGACTGCCATTAACTTGAAAGGGGTCTGGATCTGGCTAAAAACAGCTGATGATATTTCATAACATTTATTCATTTCTACTTGCATTTTCAATGTGTGAGTGTCCATTTTTCTCACATGTCATTCCTATGATTTTTTTTCATTAGTTGTTGGATTTAGTGCCTATTATTTTCCATGTAGAAGACTACAAACACTACAAAGACAAAAAAAACAATTTTTTTAGAGTCAGGGGAGATGAAAACTGTGCTATTTGTCACGTGAAACTTGAAGGAGAGCCTGAAGCTAAAGACTGCAGCTAACATTCATGGTTCTCTGGATAGTTAGTGGCCTTTATAAATGCAAAAATCCCACTTAGACATTAAAATAACTAATTTGCCATTTTCTGTGCCCTTCTCCCCTCCAGCAGTCTGTAACCTGGTATTTGTCTTCCAAGTCTTGTGTCTTACAACTTGAAATTCAAAAGAACTTGAAATTCAAATTACAATTGCATCTCAGTCGGGTTTGAGACCATTTGGGGTAATTTAGAGGAGTTTTTAAAACAAGAATAATTTGAGTAAATGTCTTACTGTCTAGAACCACGAGTTTCATAAAAAGGAAAATGTACAGTTTACAGTTAAAGAAAGGAATTTCTGATACCACTGTTGTTTTAAAATTTATGATGTTAATGCAGGATTTGATATAAGAGTGATCAGAAACAGAGTGCACTCTTAGGCTATCCATTTTTTAGTAACACCTAAATTTATTTTCAAATTTGAAAAGACCCTAGGGATAAATAAACTGCTTATCACTTGTTGATTACTATGCCAGTATGTTACTATTGCTAAGACAGTATCACATGGCCTGAGGAAAATTTAGGTCGCAGTACTCAACACACGAAAGAATGGTGAGTAGAGCCCTCAACAGTTCTCTGCATCTGCAGATAAGGCAGATGCTGGATGGGAGAGAAAAAAATGAAGATCAAACAATGAAAAAGAACTTGTATAAGGCCGTACTGCAGATCAATACCAACTGAGGGGTGAGACTGAAGCTAAAAAAACAATCCCCTGAGCTTTTCCTACTGAATTCCCCTCAAACAGTCTCAGTCTGGAGTCCTGATGTTTGGGTAGATGCTCTGCTTATTAGAGCAATGGCATCCCAGGCTAGATTTTAGTCTCCAACAGTAATCACCTAATGTTATTAAAGGCTGAGATATCTGAACCCATGCACTCTAGATAGTAATAAACTGGCTCCCTTTAATATTCCTACATCTTTCTTTTGAAAAACACTGCCATTTTAAAGTTTACTTTTAAAGTTTACATCAGGGCTTTTCTAAAGCTTAAACACACATACACCTATTAATATACATCTTTATCCAGCCATGCATTCATTTCTGGGTGTGAGCACGTGTGTGACTGCGTGCACTCCATAAGCATTTAGGGGTTTAGTGCATGCTAGTGAGACACAGATTTCAGCCACCATCAGTGGGAAGCACCGCCTTTTGACCATTTAAAATTATAGAAACAAACAAAGAGAATGTTGTGGTGTTATTTTCACTGGATGCCTATAACTGTCACACTCCAGAAGAGCTTCTTTTTTAGTCTTCTATTACTTGAGGGAGCATTTCTGCCCTTAGTCCAGAGGCTGAGGGATTGTGTGAGAGATACTTCTGTCACATGACTGGTGCATGATCTTTAAATGGCAAAATGTGCAAAATATGTAAGATCACCTGCAGTGAGAAGAACCACAAGGAAAGCCACTAAGGGTTTTACTACCACTGAGACCTGTATGGGGATCCTCCTAGTGAAGTGTGTAATGGTGAAGGTGACAGAGAGAGCAGGGGAGAATTACCCAAACCTCTGTCAGGCGACAGCAGCACTGAGCAGGAGCCTGCTGCTCTTCCACTGCCTGCTCCATCTGTCCTGTCCAGGTCTTTAGAACCAGGCACACGGACACCGGGAGGGTCCCACAGCGCTGGCACTTGCACACACTAACAGAAGGCACGTGGGAATTCCTTTTAACTGTGGCAAATGTTTTTCTTGAAGGAATAAAAGGAATATGTAAATGCTTGACACAATAAAATTATCAGTGTGTTTGTGCCCAGCACACTGGAATATTGTTCAGCTCTAATTCAACATCACAAAAATATTATCAGTGTAACACTGACAAGGCCATGCTGTGTGGATCTTGGCTAACCTGGCCATGGACTGCAGCAATTTTCATACTTGACTTTTCAGAAACCTTTCTCGTTTGCCAGTGAATCCATTCACCTTATTCATTCTTGTTCATTACCCTTCAACTACTTTACATTTTATTAATTTCCATTTCTTCTTTGCTAGACCACACTGAATGTCACAACAGCCCATTCCTCATTCCACTCATGAGAGCGGCAGTGGGCAGTGTGAGGAACAGTGCGGCCGCAGGAGCAGGCAGCGACTGTCCCCTGTGCTGAGGCACTGCCAGGGTCCAGCTCCGGCCCCTCACTTCAGGGAGGGGTGTATGTGCAGGGAAAGGATCAGAGCTGGGAAGGGGCTGGAGAATTGCTGAGGGAGCTGGGAAGGGGCTGGAGAATTGCTGAGGGAGCTGGGAAGGGACTGGAGAATTGCTGAGGGAGCTGGGAAGGGGCTCAGGCTGGAGCAAAGGAGGCTCAGGGGGCCCTTGTGGCTCTGCACAAGTCCCTGGCAGGAGGGGACAGCCGGGGGGATTTGGGATCTGATCGCAGGGAACAGGGACAGGAGGAGAGGGAACCGCCTCAGGCTGGGCCAGGGGAGGCTCAGGGGGGACAGCAGCAGGAATTTCCCCATGGAAAGGCTGGTCAGGCCTTGGCTGCCCAGGGAGGTTTGGAGTGCCCATCCCTGGAGGTGTCCAACGACTGGACGCGGCACTCGGTGCTCTGGGCTGGGTGACAAGCTGGGCACGGGGCACAGTTGGGTCTCAGAGGTCCGTTCCAGCCGCAACGCCGCTGCGGTGCCGCGGTTCGGTGCCTCCGCCGGCAGTGCCCGGCCCCGCCCGAGGAGGGCGCTCTCTCGCGTTCGCCCGCGCTCCGCCGGGGCCGCACACTCGCCTCCGGCCGGGGCTGCGTGCGGCCGGGCGCGACCAACCTTCGGGGGAAGGGGGGAATTCGGCGTGAGCCGCCATATCCCAACTGCTCCCCGCAGGCCGCACTCCTCCGCCACCCCCGCGCCGCGCTGCTTTGCGCCCTGCCGTGACGTCACCCGCCGGGGGCGTGGCCACATCGCTCCCAGGGTGCAGCGCACAAGTTGAGCCCCATCTTGGGCGAGCGGAGCCGCGGCCCTACCGCGCTCCGGGAGCTCCGGGGCCGGTGCAGCGCAGCGGGTCCGCCCGCCCGCGGCCGCTGAGCGCCGCTGCCCGGGCCGCCGCGGCGCCGGCACCCCGCCCGCGGTGGGGGTTTGCCCGTGGGGCGAGCCCGCGGGCCGGTTGCGAGCAGGATGCGCCTGGCGCTGGTCTCCAGGTAGAGCGCGGAGACAGCGGGGGGGGGGACACGGGGCCGCCTGGGCCTCGCCCGGCCAGCGCGGGGCCCCTCGCGCGGGGCGGGCCGCGGGCCCGCTGCTGCGGCCCGCAGGAAGCCGCGGGGCGCTCGGAGCGGCGGCAGGGAGGAGAAGGAGGCCCGGCCGCGGGAAGAGGGCTGCGGATAGGGAGGAAGAGGAGGAGCCCCGCCGCCCCCCGCCCGCCGCAGGAAGCCGCCGGAGGATGTACGGTAGTGCCGGGGGCCTGGCCGGCACGCCGTGACAGCCCGCCCCAGCACCCCGCTCGCCTCGCCACGGCCGGCCGAACCCCTTCCTGCGGAGGAAACATGTCCAAGATGCCGGCCAAGAAGAAGAGCTGCTTCCAGATCACCAGCGTGACCACGGCGCAGGTGGCCAGCAGCATCACCGAGGACACCGAGAGCCTGGATGACCCGGATGAGTCCCGCACCGAGGACGTGTCTTCTGAAATCTTTGATGTTTCCCGAGCCACCGACTACGGCCCCGAGGACGTCTGCGAGCGGAGCTCTTCCGAAGAGACTCTCAACAACGTGGGCGAGGCCGAAACTCCCAGCAGCGTCTCTCCCAATCTCCTTTTGGACGGACAGCTGGCTGTGGCTGCTGCTGGGGTGGCTGCAGGCCCCAACGGGGGGGCTGTGCCCAAAAGTTCGGCTGTGTCCCTGCCAGCTGTTGCCCCTGGCACTGCTGTGGGGGGAAGCAGCAGTACTCAGGCGGCTCTGCCCTCCACAGGGCCTTCTGCACCCGCTGCCTCCGGGGCCATGTCTCAGACGGCGGCTGCTGCGTGCAGCTCACGCTTCAGGGTGATCAAGCTGGACCACGGTACTGGGGAGCCCTACAGGCGAGGCCGATGGACGTGTATGGAGTACTATGACCGGGACTCAGATGGTGGTGGTGTTCTGAGCAGGACTGGAGATTGCATTAGGCACAGCAGCACCTTCGAACAGGCTGCTCAAGAGAGGGACAGTGGCCTCGGTGCCACAGGAGGTTCTGTTGTGATCTCGGCTGTGCCAGCGTCAACCCATGGCCCCGATTCTATAGCTGACAGCTCCCTGGCTGCTGTGTCACAGCTGCTTCAGACAGAGAAAATGAACCAGTCCTCTCTACAGCAACCTAATTTTGTCATTGGGCAACAGCAGCAGCCGCAGCAGCCCGTAGGTGGGGCCGTGCCTCAGAGTACTGCTCAGCCTGTGTTTTCTGGGGCTTCGGGAGCAAATCAGCAAATGATAGTGCCGCAGCAGCCCCAGCCACAGGTAAATCCACAGGGTGTTTCACAGGCTGGACCCAACGGGAAAGGCATGGCACCTCCCAGTGTGACAGTAGGGCAGTCAAGCATTCCTGTGGCCCAGCAGCAGGTGCAGCAGGCAAATGTACCAGTGACTCAGCCTCAACAATTTGCTTATTCTCAGTCCCAGATTCCACCAGTGCATCTACTGCCGACGCAGCCTCCTGGGCAGGCTGAATACATGCAGCACATGACAATGATGCAGTCTCAAGGAGCTATTCAGCAGGCTACTACAAGCTCTGCTCCGAGTACTGTGGCCTCCAGCCTTCCTGTGGGGCAGGTGACGGGCCAGAACCCCTCACCTGTGGGAGCTCCAGTGATGGGGGTGTCATCACAGCCCAGCGAAGCAGTCGGACAGGGATCGGGGTTGATGCAGAGTGGCCAGGCACAAGCCAGTCAACCTGGCATCCCACAGCCGGGAGGTGTGGTGCAGCCAGGCCTTGGACATACGGGGGTTGTGCAACAGAAATCTGTGACTCAGCATCCAATGGGGGGAAGCAGTCAAGTGTCAGGAATGCCTGGTGCTCCCCATGCTGTGGTCCCTGGAGTTCAGAGCGTGCCTGCGGTTGTGCCCGGTACAAGCGTGCCTGGTGTGTCCACCACCGCTTCTGTTACTATGCCAAACGTCCCTGTTACGCTGGTCCAGTCCCAGCTGACGAGCCACCCTTCTGTCAGCAGAAGTGCTGGTGTGGTCCAGTCCCAGCACGTCGGACACTCGATGATGCAAGGTGTGCCCAACGCACCCGCCAGTCTGCCTCAGGCAAACCTCGGACAGTTTCAGACCCAGGCCCAGTCCTTAGTAGGCCAGATCGATGATACTAGAAGAAAATCGGAACCCCTACCTCAGCCACCACTTTCTCTTATAGCTGAAAATAAACCTCTTGTGAAGCCTCCCATTCCAGACACTCTAGCAAATCCTCTTCAGTTACCTGCAAGTACTCCAATGAACAGTCTTGCTAGCTCTGTTTTTGGCATATCCATTCCTGTTGATGGTGATGAAGACAGGTATGAATTATTTTATAATGCCATAAAAAAGAGGCGTATTTTTCGGGGGGAAAAATGTCAACTTTAAAGTTATTGCCAGGTTTTTTTTGTAAATTCATATTTTCAGAAAGTCATGCTGAGGTTTTCACCTGGACTATATTTTTATTTTAAGAATGCAAACCATAGCAAAGTGTTTAGGCCAGTAGTGAATTGTGCTTGTTTTTTGCAGGGTGTGAGTGCAATTACTTTTCTCACAAAATGGGGTACAAAGTATCCTGAAAGCTGTTCAATGCAAAAATAATATGACCTCTTCAAAATCAAAGGCTGAAAGCTGTCTTTTTGTAGCCAGTGGCTCAAGATGTGAGAAGGGCTGCTCTCTCCTTTTTCCAGAATGCATTATAAAACGCTTCAGTGACAGCAGGGTTAAAATGACACTGTATTGTAGCGTTAAATCTGTGTGATGCTATCTCAGGGCTTTTAACAGAGTTTCTTGATTTTTATCCTGCTGTGGAGTTAACACTTTATAGTGTCAGTTAGTAAGGAGACACTTGCACTTGGATGTGGATTTATGTGCAAATCCATATGCGGGGAAAGCTCTGCAGAGAATGATCCTTTTTATTGAGAAAACAGACGATGTGGACACGGTGGGAAGTGTCCTTCCCACCCTTACAGTGAGGGTTTTTTTTTAATTGCGAAGTAATTTGGAACTATGAGTTGTAACAGAGGGGTGTGGTGTGAGCAGGCTCCTAGGAGGGCCTGAGAGAGGGTGTGTGGCTGCTGTTCCCATAGACACATCAGACTGCTCTGAAGGCCAAAACCATTTGATTGATTTCTTTGAGGGAGACTCAAGCAGTGTTTAAGCACTGAATTTAAGTCCAAACCTTTACTGTCAGGATTACTGCAGTTTGGAGGAAGGGAATGCATGTGTGTTATTTATTTTTAAAAACAGGCATTAGACCATTATGAGCAGGTCTTGTGGTGAATTTCTCTGCAAGTCTCCCCTCACCTTGGGACAGCACCAGACATTAAGATAATGTAGTCAGTGTTGCTTTGAGGATGTTTTAGTGAAGCAGCTGTGTCTGTGGGGTTGGGGTGCAGTGGATGGAGAGAGCACCTAAGAGTGGATGTTTGGAGAGTTCAGACTGCAGGTTTAATGCTGGCCTGTACTTGCTGGAGAATTGGCTGACACTGTGTCTAAGAAAGTAGTAACTGCTGTGCTTTTCTGCAAAGAGAAGCTGTTGTTTGGAAACCTGTGCTGGTTCTGATTAAAGTGGTAAAGGACTGACAAGAAAAAGTTTAAAATTTACTCGCAGTTTGCCTACCTTAAGAGGATTGCTAACCTGGCTGACAAACTGCCTTGTGCAAATAAGGTTAGATTTCAAGCTGGTGGGTTCTCTTCATAGCTCAGTGTTTTTTGAGATGTTTTGTCTGGTAATCAGTCTGTTGATTCAGGAATCAGAAAGAAAGGAATGCATTTTGCATTTGTTTTCCATAGCTTCTAATACTTAATATAAATTGTGGTAATGAACATGAGTATCAGTGACAAGTGAATCACTTCTGTGTAAAGATAGAGAAAAACATCTAACTTTGTGTGGCACTCCAGTGAGTCACCTCTTGGTGCTCCTACCAGAACAGTGATTTTTAAAGCTAGTTTTCTAGTTTAGTCATTGAACTTGCCACCTTGCCACGGTGCTTTACAGGGTGTTCATTTCTAAAGAGACTCTTTCACGCTTTGCCAGGAGAACTGTGAGTAATAAGAGGAAATGGGGTCTGGATGCAGCGTGCTCCTTTTGACAGGCCATGCTGTAGTGTTCAGTAGAGAGACGAATGTCTGGTTATCAGTGAAGGAGTGCCTGTGTGTCGTTTGTCAGTTCTGCACTGGGTGATAAAACTGAGCCTTGTGCTGGGCTGTCGGAAAGCCAGGAGCACATGTGTGTTGTGGGAGCCTTTCCCAGCTGGGAAGGTGTTCCTGGTAAGCTATGAAAGCTCACCTTAAATGGACCTAGACCTCATATATAACATAGGAGATGAATACAGAGACAGTCGATCAAAGTTTATTCTTTGCTCCCCTCAAGCAGTAGCCTGACTTCCACTGGCTTCAGAGAAAGGTGAGAATGAAAACCTAGCAGCTTGTTAAGGCTGTTTTACCACTTGGTTTTTATTTGCTTTACTCTCTGAGAAGGCTTTATTGTAAGACTGTCTCCTGCTTGTCTGCTGTTCTATTCTTGCTCGTGCTTTTTTTCTCTTCCCAGCCATTTAAATTGTGTCACTACTCCCATGGGCTTTGCCCAGCTGCCTTATCTACTGGAATCAGTCGTGAAATAGTTAATGAAGACCTTCAAGTGTCATTAATAGGCTGGGGGTTGACACTGATAAAGCTGTTAAGGCACAAAGGGAGCTGATACGTCATGAGTCATGGTTTGTGCTGGCAGGTCCAGGAAGTTACTGCACAGCTCAGTTCAGAGAGGTTACTTGGTGGTCATAGAATCTATAAATCACTGGAAAACATTTTTTTTTCTTTGTCTTTCTTACTATTAATGTGTAACATTCCCAGAAAGGAGACTCAGTGTGTAGGCAGGTATCTACGTTTCTTCTGGCACCTTCAGTTATACTTCAATATTTGCACCTACTTGAAGCTTCACAGGCTTGTTTAGATCATTCTCCTATAGTCATCTTCTAAAACAGTGACTTATCAAGGAGTAGTGTATAGTTCTCAATACCCTGGATTTATCTGGAAAGTCACTCACCATTCTGAATATGAAGCGGAACTGTTTGAAAGGTAAAATAGTAAAGATGGAAATTCTTAGAAAGCAGCATGTCACCAGTACAGTAAACATGATGTAAAAAGTTGGTCAGTTAGTGTGTTTCTGAAAAAAGATTTTTTGTATTTTTCTCCTGTCTTTGTTTTAAATCAGACAGCATCTAAGGTTATTAGGGGTGGAGGTGATCTAGCCTGATATATAAAGATAACTATATTTATAGATTGCTTTCTTCCAAGCCATTGCCCAAAGACTTCTAATTTCCTGTTCCCATAGACACTTTTGAGAGTAGTCTATAAAAAATGTGATTTCTTGCATTGACCTGATGAATAGAGAAAAATCAGTTAACTGGAAAGTCTTGTCTTGGGGGAAGAACAGGTGGATAGGTAGTCCAAAGGAATGAAAAAGAAAAAAACCTTTGGTGTGTCATGCCTTCCTTGAGAAGCAAAGCCAGTATTTCAGTTGATGTGTCCAAATTGCTAAGCTCTTAAAAGGGAAAAATTGTTGTGTGAAATTATGAAATACTTACAGCATAACACAGTATTATTTACTTTTCATCTTTAAATGTGGCTGCAAATAAAATAAACTGCAGCAGTATTGAAGGATGGAGGAACTAGTACTGGTACTGAGGCAGATGTGGGTATTGCTGCCTCAAAGAGGGAGCCTGAAAAATGCTAATTGTGTAAAAACACAACTAGAACTAGGTCTCAAAATTGCTCTGACTCTTCTTTTTTTGTTCAGCACTAGTACTAATTATTTTGGAGGGAGGGCAGTTAGAGCACCTGAGAGGATTTTGGTGTTGGTCTGTGTCATGTTCTCCGCTTATCCTTATGCCCATGTATACACAAATTTGTAATTGACAAGTAGAATATTTCATCTGGCTAAATAACTTTATTTTGGCTCTTGGGGGGAAAAGAAATATGTTGCTTCTGTTATAAGAATGTTACTGAGAAAACTTGTTCAAACCTCCTACGTGTTTGGCAGGCTTCTGAGGCAAAATATGACTAGGGCTGTTGGAAAAGGAGCAGAGTATAGATCATTTTCCAGAGATAACTGACCGGCTTGAACTGTTCCGGCTGTATTCCAGGAACACTGATGAATGGCTGCAATTGTGAACTGGCAGCTATGGCAGCTGAGCTGTTGAGAGCCCAACAGTGCAGGGCTCTCCGCAGCGTGTGTCTGAGCTCAGCTAAATCACGTATTTGTATGGAGGACTAACTGCTTGGAGAACTGTGCTCTTGAGACCATGTTCATCATTTAAGGACAAAACTGGGCATGGGATCACTTAAGTATTGCCCTAGATGCATATTTTATTGTGCTCCTAAAGAAAAAAGTAAGTATTCTGCAAATACATACCAGAAAATACGTGGTACTTGAATTGCATTAGTACTTAGTGTTATTCCTTTCTTCACCTTGCTCATAAACTTTGTAGAGGTTTGATCTCTCCTACAGCTACTGACTTGTCAGCTCTCCTCCTGAAAGCCTGTGTTTGTTAATATGCGTGGAAGCAGGTGAGAATGCAACCTGGGCAGACACACTCCAGAGCCTGGAGAGCCTTCAGTCTGATGGACAGTTCAAAAACTAAGCTGGGACTTCTGGGGTCACCTCTGCAGCTCATGGCAGCAAACGATGGTTAATGCAAGGGAGCTCCAGTTGGTTGTGTTCAGTGCTTGCTGTACTTTATGTAACAAAAATTACCAAAGGTAACTGCAGCACTGCATGAGTTTCTGGGTGGTGGAAAGCCTATTGTGCTGTGCAGTCAGTTTTGGAGTGGTGCAAGATAGCTAAACAGAGCTGTGGTTGCTTGTTTGACAGTATGGGTTCCTAGTTTAAACATTCAAATGACTTTGTTAAGTCAGTGCATTCTTAAAATTAATGAGGTACAAGTGTTTCAGGTGAGCAAGTTATTAAAAGGAGGAAATGGGGGAAATATTTGAAAGAAATTTACAGTGATACTGTTCAGTTTGTTTTAAAGACTGTAGTGACCACCTCTGACAGGAGAGGTTCCCTGTGCCTCAGACTCCTGAGTGTTCTGCTCAGCTGCTGGGGGTTTGTTTTTCCCTTGTCTCCTGTAGAAGAGTGCAAATGTTCCATAGCTGATTTCTGAATGCTGTCTGTATGGCAGAAATAACAGCATATGTTTTATGGAAGCTATTTTAAACTTCTTGTTAAAAGCTGAGTAATTTGGATGTTTTGAGAAGGTGGGACTACCTAACTGCTCTCAGACTCCAGAAGGGCTGAAAGTTCTCCGAGGCTGCATTT